AACTGGATGTCAGATAGCTAGCTATCTGCTTGGAAAACGATGTAATGGAATACTGGATAGGAGACGGAAGATGGGGCAGATGAAGTGCAGCAAACTCAGGAAGGGATGACTCAATCCCATTAAAGATTCCTTAAAATAGGGTAAAGTGGGTAACATTAATCTCCCAATGACTGGGTGTGAGGTCATGTCCCTTCTGTTCTCAAGCACTGAGTCCCTGGAGAACCCAAGAAAGCCTAGAATGATAACTGGTGCTGATAATGTCTGAGACTGGCAGCTGAGCTGTCCTCAACCATTTTGATATTACACCAGCTTCAGATAGACAGCCTTGAACTCTAGGCTTCTGGCTGTCATGGGCTTCTTGCCAGGACTCTAAGCAGGAGCTGATTTTTTTTTTTTCTTCACACTCTGTTAGGGATCAATCACAGCACTCTGACTGAGAAACATTATTTTCAGAAGGCCGTAGAACTTTCTGAATCATGCGATGTGAATGAACCAATTCATCAACTGTATAAACACAGTGGTTAATCATTTCAAACATGCTTATATATCACACACACACATGTTTTATATGATGGATTTATGTGCTCACTCACTTTTGGCCATGATTGCTCTAATAAAACAATGTAAAAAATACAAGTGAATAATCAATCATCAATGATTAACTTGTCAAAAGTAGTTTTTAATCTGGCTTTACAACTACCTACTTTAATAAGATAAATTAATCACAGCACTGTCTAATTTCCTGCTTCAACTGCCAAATTAATCTAAAATAATGAAGTTCCTAGAAACTCTTTTTAAAAAAATTCTAGCTGGACTTTTGGCAGTCAGAATGGCTTCAAATATGTAAGTAACTAAGAAAAAAATAAAATACAAAATATGTTTCCAGTAGGGAAAAAGCCTCTCTCCTCTGACAGGCTGCAACTTGTCAATCTGCTCACAGATGTTATGACACTCATATTGGCAGGGCTCCCAAACAGCCAGATGCTCCTCACCAAAGTCAAAGGTGTGGCAGAAAAAATAGAGAAACGAAGAAGAAAAGGCCAAGGATACTCAGGGAGATCATGGAACCCCAGTGTGAGTCCTAACTCCACCATAGTTATCTGTGTGACCTTGGGCAAATCATAATACGCTGTTTCCTCATTAGTAAAATAGGAAACAAATACCTGTTACAAGGATTTGGGGATATTTGGTGCCTTTAGAGTAGCTTCTGATCCAGCTGGACTCTAAATGTTTGCTAACTGCTGTGATGACAACTTGCGATTCCTCTGAGGTCTTATAGGACTTAATTTGAGGTAGGAAGTCATTATAGATAGCAGATAAACCATACAGAGAAGTGAAATATAAATATAAAATATAATTGGAGTCTACAAGGTGGAAGCCCACTTAGTGTAAGGCAAGTTATTGTTAGAAGCTGATTATGAACTACTTAAGACAAAAGAACTATCAGTTTCATTTGAATTGCAACTCCAGCATGAAATGCTGTGGTAGGAAGGATTCTGTGGTTGAGTCTGGAATCCAGGGTCAAGAAGGAAGTGATAGATTGCAATAACTGCCATGATCACAGAAGAAATGATAGTATCTGACATTCCTGGTATAGGAATGGAATTCACTATGCAATCCTGCAACTGGTTTACCCCATGGAGTTGAAACCTTAGTGATCGCACAAAGCCTGCACATGGATGTTCATAGCAGCTTTGCTCAAAACTGTTTGAACTTGGAAGTAAACAAAATATTACTCAGTAGGTGACAGAAAAAAAAAAAAAAAGCTGGACTACATCCAGACAATGAATTGTTCAGCACTAAGACAAAATCAGCTACCAAGACATGAAAAGACATGGAAGAAATGTAAATTTCAAAGCAAAGGAAAATAACCTGAGAAGGCTACATACTTTATGATTCCAGTCACATGACATTGTGGAAAAGGCAAAACTAGAGACAGAAGATAGTGGCTGACAGGGTAGAGGCCAGGGGATGTAGAGGCAGAGCACAGGATTTTTAGAGTGGTGAAAATACTCTGGATGTTACTACAATGTGGATATATATCCTCACACATTTGTCCAAACTCAGCATTTATAGCAAGAAATGAACCCTAGGTAATAATAATGTGCCAATGTAGGTTCAACAATTGTCACAATGCACTACAGTGGTGGTTCATGTTGGTACAGGGGAGGCTGTGCATTTGTTGAAGGAGAAGATAATGGGAAATTTCTATTTTTCTCTTTCTTTCAATTTTGCTATGAACATAAAATTGCTCTTTAAAAATGAAGACTCAAGGGCTGGGAAGGTGGCTCAGTGGTAGAGCGCTTGCCTTGCATGCTCAAGGCCCTGGGTTCGATTCCTCAGTACCACATAAGCAAAAAGAAAAAAGCCAGAAGTGGCGCTGTGGCTCAAGTGGTAGAGCGCTAGCCTTGAGCTGAAGAGCTGAGGAACAGCGCCCAGACCCAGAGTTCAGGCCCCATGACTGGACCCCCCCCCCCCGCAAAAAAAAAGAAGACTTAAAAATAAGTCCATTTTAAGCACATGTACACATACATGTACAAACACAGCTCCTACCAAAGAAGTGGTCTCAATCTCTTGTTACTAATACAACACAAACAACTATCGCACAATTACTAGCCCTGACTCATTTGGCTGTAGGACACTACTTTTAACAACTGCCTTCTTGTCACTTATTACTGTGGTTATTTACATCTCTTTTTCCTCAGTGCTCCAAAGACGGAGCTGCAAGTCTGCGAACTTTTTGCTTCCTAGACACTGTAGCCAGCCAGACATAAAGGGATGGGATTTAAATTCCATTTCTGACCTAACTTTTGTTTTAGGATACAAAATACAGAACTAGCCAAGACATGCAGATTCATTGGTCATGAAATCTGTAACTGGTTTACTGTGCTTCTTGCATCTTAAAGCTCCATAATGAATGTTTCCATATAGAAACAGAATACTGCTTTGAATACTCTGGTCAGATGAGTATGAAAGTACAGGCAATGGACAGGTATGGTAAAAACCAATGTATGCTTTTATCTGCCTGAAAGCCACCAGTTTTCTCTGACAACACAGAGGAATACCACCAATTAATCAGATCAGGTTGTTTGATGTTGGTATGAGTCAATTATTCTTTCCATCCCATTCTAATTGCTTCTGTTCTCTTAACTAATGCTTACCATTTGTTTTTACTGTTATTATTGAGTAGTTGTACAAAGGGGTTAAATAAAGCTTACCAAATTACAGATTAAATAATTATTTATTATTCAGCTATTTAAATAAAGAACATATACACCAAAGAACAACATTTGTATTTATTTGTACTCATTATGTTGAACTGAACTCTTGGAAATAACAGGTATCACCTCAAAAATAAAGTAATAGATGTATACTAAATTGTTAGCTACTTGCATTTCTCTCCCCTAAAATTCTGACACAGCAAAACTCCATAAAGACATGTGAACAGGTTCAGTGCACTTTCATGGCTCACAACTGTGACACAGAGACCATGTATATCCATTAAAAAAAAAAAAGACAAGTAGTTAAACAATTTTTAAAATTACTGGCATGAAATAAAAGTAAAATACTGCACTTTAACCACAATCACTTTGGGAGTTGGTAGAAATGTACTTTGGCAGGCATATCCAGGCTTGGTAGGCTTCGCACATGGGTGCTCACTAACTGCTCAGCTTCCCCTGCAGTTTCTCAAGGACCCTAACTGGGGCTCACTTGCAAGCCCTGAGCCTCTCATCCACCTGTCTCCTCAGAACTATTCTGGAGGGTGTCTGATTCTTTTTCCTCCACCTGCTCCTAAGGCCTTCCTCTCTTCTCTTAATCCCTGCCCCTACTTGTCTCTGCTATCACTGCCATTTGAGCAATGATGTCTGGCACAAAACTCACCCAGCTGAGCATCCCTCCCAGCTCGCATCCCAGATGTTGCCCTCCACTGACTAAATGATAGCTATCCAGGAAAAGGAGAGTCTGTCTACAAACATCATTTCCCTGCTTTGTGTTTCTATCCCCATACAAGGCAAAAAAAAAGAAAAAGAAAAAGCCGATCGTGCCTGATTTATAACTTAAAATATTCAATGAGTTTAGATAAAATATATACTGACCCAAATGTCTTTAATAGCTACTTTATTAGTTCTTAAAAATCATAAAAATATAAAAATTGTAAACATTTTACTAAACGTTTCAGTAGAAACCCTGTTACCCAACTTTTTATTTAGTGGGTTCAGAAAGAACAAAGTGACACTACATTCCCTTTGGCAGACCCAAGATCATGTTCCTAGCCCTAAACAAATTCCTACTATCAGATGTCTTTGCATGCCTAGCATGTTTCATGACAACTACTGCTGCCACTCATGAACACACCCTGGGACAAAGCAGCAGAGAAAATGTGGCCTTTCCCCATTGCTCCATACCTGACTGAGCCTCATGACCACACAAACACATGGAAGCAGCTCCTATGTCAAAGGCTGCACTGCTGTGCAAAGTGAGAGCACAAGATCAGGTGAGGGGCCGGGGAACCTGCTGCGAGACAGAACTGGAGAGGAAAGGAGAGCTGATGAGGCCAATGTCTACCAATGTCTACCACACCCCTGGTACCCACACTCCCTTCATCTTGACAGTGCTGAGGGCCGGAGAATGAACTGAGCCTAGATTCAAAAGGAGGAACCTATTATCCAGTAATTCCAGTCACTTATTGCTCCTTCAGCAAGGTTTCCCTGCATGTTTTTCAAAGACTGAAATTAACAAGATGCTATATTTAACTTTAATCAAGCAAAAGAAACACTGCTTGTGTATTTTGCTACCGACACTTAAGATTACTGAAATCTATCAGCTCTGAGGAATCCCATTTACCAGTTATGACAGGTGAGTAACTAAAACAAGAATGTCTGACCCGGGAAGAAACAATATCAACTAACTATAATATTTGCACAATGACTTATATTACCTGAATAGTCTCCATAGTGACAAGCCAGAAAAAGTGAAATAATAAACATTTCCCACAGCACCATAAGGTTTTAAAAATACTATTTCAGTACTGTATGATCTTGATTTTGGTCCATCATTTCTTTTAGGCATAACCTCTTCTCTTATTAGTGAAAAGAATTCTTACATGAAAAGAGGCCATGTAGGCACAATTATAGCATGAAAATGATGTATCTTGCTGAAGAACTTGTATGGTATACTTACAAGCTCCCTGCTTCGGCTACACCCATTGAGTACTAGTGGATTCAAAGGCTAGGAAAGAGTTTTGCCATTTATATACCATAGTCACAAATTTTAACTTGCCAAAGAGACTTCATGAGTAACCAACATATCTGTCATACCAAAAAGTACTTTATATTGGTATGCTTTTATATTGTGCTTTTATGAGTTCTGTTTCTACTTACTAACATTTTGTAAATGGCTCTGGATTTTTAAATAAGAATATAGTTGATCCATTTTTAATTTTAAAATAAAACAGAAATGCAAATGGAAAACAGACAAAAGTTATAGCCAAATTATCTGGGATTAAATGTAAGAAGTTATCTACAGTAAGAGACCTACCACAGATTGAATCTGTCCAATATCCAGCATGCTCATGGATTTCCTACAACTGTTAGTGTGTAGGATGCCAAATAGGTTCAACACTGACCCACACAAAACAAGATTAAAGTACTAATTGACCAACCATCAAACACACTGCATTCCAAAGCCGAATTTGAATTAGGTTTAGGATTATCAGTTTCATGTCCTTCCTCTACTAATGCCAAGAATTGTCTTGGCTTTACTACAAATTGTTAGTGCTAGAGTAAACTTGCTATAAAATTATGTATAACAAAATAAATATTTTCAGTACCTCCACACTAAATGATATATAAATCACTAGCATTTTATAACATAAGCTTAGGTCATTGTTTTAGAACTCAAACATACTGTACAATCCTGAGTAAAAGGTTAGGGATTACTTTCTTGAGGATCTTTCTTGACTGACTAGGAATAAAAAACAAAACCAAACTACATAAACCACAAATTGTAATAATCCCTATTTGCATTAAAAGCCAGGCACTGGTGGCTCACGCCTGTTATCCTAGCTCTCAGGCAGCTGACATCTGTATGATCACGGTTCGAAGCCAGCCTGGGCAGGAAAGTCTGTGAGACTCTTATCTCCAATTAACCACCAAAAAGCCAGAAGTGGAGCTGTGGCTCAAGTAGTAAAGCATCAGCCTTGAGCAAAAAAGCTAAGGGCCAGTACCCAGGCCCTGAGTTCAAGCCCCAGGACTGGCACAGAAAAAGAAGGGTTTGAAAAAAGTACCATGAGTTCTTTTCACTTTGGTAAATGAGTTTAGCTATGTAAACCATTTATCGTGATCGAGTAAGCTGAAGCAGAGCTTCTGCTAGGATCCCTCCATCACCTTTTGACACTGACGTGATAAATAGTCCGGAAGAGCAGGGCAGGAGGATCGGAACCACAGGGCTAACACATCAGCATGAACTCGGCAATGCAGTAAGCAGGGGACTGATGGCAGCAGCCGACAGGCCAACAGCCCTTCACTGCCTGCAATAAAACAAGAATGAAAACCTACTTAATACACAGACTTCAACACACATTTCTCCAAGAATATTATATACAAATGGAAAGCAAGCACATAAAGAAATATTCAATATCATTAATCACTAGGGAAATGTAAATCAAACTTACAATGAAAAACAACCCATTCAGATGGCTAACACAAGAAAAACTGAAAACAAAAGTTTTGGTGACGATGTGGAGAAGCTGGAAGTTTTATGTGTTGCTCATAAGAAGTCAAAATGGTATAGCTGCTAGGAAAATCATATGGTGATTTACCAAAAAACTGAATTTGCAATCAACCTATGATATAACCAAAAGAACTGAAAGCAGGAACAGAAACGTATTTCTATAACCATATTCACAGCAGCATTGTTCACTTTAGTCAAAAAGTGGAAGTAATCCAATTGACAGACAAATGGATCGTCAAAATGTAGTAATTCATACAATGGAACAGTATTTGGCCTGAAAAATGAAAGATATTTTCACATATGCTACTAGGTAGATCAACTATGAAACACTAGGCTGAGAAAACCCAAACATGAAAAGACAAATGTTATAGGATTCCACCTATGTAAGTTACCTAATGTGGTCTAATTCATGTATACAAAAAGCATAAACCATGGCTTCCAGGGACTGAGAAGGGGGAAAAAGTATTAAGTGTTCAATAGGTACAGAGTTTCAAATGAAATGTTAAGAAAGTTCTGGAAATGGAGCGTTGGTGGCTCATGCTTGTAATCTTAGTGATTCAGGAAGCTCAAATTTGAGAATCATGGTTTAAAGCCAGCATGGGAAGGAAAGGCTTTCATATCTCCAATTAACCACCAAAAAGCAGGAAGTGAAGCTAAGACTCAAGTGGCAGAGCAGCAGCCTTGAGGAAAAAAAAAAAAAGTTCTAGAAATGAACGGTGGTGATGGCTGTACAATAATGTGAATGTTACTTAAACATGGTTAAAGTGGTAACCTTAATTTTTTTCCTATAAAAATCTTTGGTATGAAAAACACACTTCTTTGAAAGATACTCATAATTAAGTATTCTAGCTGTAAGAGATCTGACACTTGCAAGGCTTGATTTGTGTTCTGATGGTGACAAGACTGCGATAAGCACAGGACTGTCTTCATAACTATACCAACCTACAACGTCAATAACATGAAGTCGCAGTTTCTGCTGCAGCACATTGAGGGCAGAAGGCAGAACAGCTGGAGATGCTGCTGTTTTTATATTTTGCTTCACATCATTTGCAAAGGAGAGCCAGAGTTTTCCAAAGTCTTCAGTTGAGATTTTTAAAGGTCTGAAAATAATTTAAAAATTAGGCTTCAGGATAAAAATACAATAATGTTAAGCAAGCAAATATACTTCAAAGGACTCATGGAAATAAAGTGTAATCGCTGGGTCTCACAAAATTTATATAGTGTTTCATCCACCAACATTCCTGAATACTGGAAGTAAAAGATACTGAATTGCAAATATTTTTTCCATACATTACCTGGTTCTATCTCAGGGAATTAAGTCATTTTAATAAGGCTATAAGTAATTTCATGAATCATTTTTTTTTTGTTGTTGTTGGTTGTGGGGCTTGAACTCTGGGCTTAAGAACTGTCCCTGCGCTCTTCAGCTCAAGGTAAGCACTCTACCACTTGAGCCACAGGGCCATTTCCCGTTTTCTAATGGTCTATTGGACTTAAGAGTCTCATGGACTTTCCTGCCAGGGTTAGCTTTAAACTGTGATCCTCAGATCTCATCCTCCTGAGTAGCTAGGATTACAGGCGTGAGCCACTGATGCCCAGGCTCAAGGAATATTCTTTTATGTATACTTTGAACTTGGGAGTAATAAGATACCAAAGACATAAAAAGAATGAATACAAAGACCCTGCACTTTTAATTAGGCTAAGGGAAAGAATTTTAACAAATACACTTTAAAAACAGTTATGAAAACTGGGTGTGATTGTACACACCTGTAATCCCAGCTGGTGAAAGTCTGAGGCATGAGAATCATTAGTTCCCAGTCAGTCTGAGTTACATAGTGAAACTTTGCCTCAAAAGAAAACTAAACAAAAATCATCAAGTTACAGGCCCATGGATCAAATAATTAGCATCGAGATTATTGGCAACTTTCATATTTTACATTTTTATTTAGCATTTGAATTATTATGATAAGTATGGAATGATTCAACATTCAAGACAAAAGATATTTTTAGAGAGGATTTTATAAAGAGAGGATTTATGTATAAAAGAACTGTGTGATACAATTTGCCATTCTTAACCATTGCCAGTATTCATCATGGGGCATACCTTAACAGCCACAGAGTATTTTTTTTTTTTTTGGGGTCCGGTCGTAGGGCTTGAACTCTGGGCCTGGGTGCTGTCCTTCAGCTCTTCAGCTCAAGGCTAGCGCTCTACCACTTGAGCCACAGCGCCACTTCTGGCTTTTTTCTTTTTGCTTATGTGGTGCTGAGGAATCGAACCCAGGGCCGCAGGCATGCAAGGCAAGTGCTCTACCACTGAGCCACCTTCCCAGCCCCAAGTATAAGATTTTTTAAGGCTGGATTTTATCTTACAGCATGGACTAAATATTCCTTGATGACTTGTTTTTACTAGAAGACTTCAAAGAATGGACAATACATTTTTAGAACTGAGTGAATAAAGAACTAGAAAAATAAGCCGGGCGCCAGTGGCTCATGCTTGTAATCCTAGCTACTCAGAAAACTGAGATCTGCAGATCACAGTCCAAAGCCAGCTGGGGCAGGAAAATCCCCATGAGACTCTTACCTCCAATAAACTACTCAAAAAAGCTGGAAGTGGCTCTATGACTCAAGTGTTAGAGCACTTTAGCCTGAGTACAAACAGCTCAGGGACAGCACCCAGGCCCTGAGTGTAAGCCCTAGGACCAGCAAAAAAGAAAAAGAAAGAAATTGTTCCCAACTTTCTTGTAATACATACAATGCCTAATATGATGCTAAATGTTCATTGTACATTTGAAGTTTGATATCTTATTGTATAACTGTATAGTCAATGAAAGTTGAGTACTTTTCTTATAGATCTCTAAAGCTTAACTAGCAAGACTATATGAAAAAAATCAAACAAAATCAAATGAGGGAAAATTTTAAAGCTTAAAGAGTCACATAAAATCTCTGCAGTTATTTGAGTTTAAATATTACTTTCTTTCAAAAATGTCTACAGGTGTTGTGCACCAGTAGCTCAAGCCTGTAATCCTAGTTATTGAGGAAGCTGAAATCTGAGGATTGTGGTTCAAAGCTAGCCCAGGCAGGAAAGTCTGGGAGACTCCTATCTCCAATTAACCACCAGAAAACTGGAAGTGGTGCTGTGGCTCAAGTGGTAGAGCGCTTGCCATGAGCTGAAGAGCTCAGGGACAACACCCAGGGCTGGAGTTCAAGCCCCATGACTGACAGAAAAAAAAAAAAAAGGAAAGTGTTTACAGGTCACCAACAAGTGCCACCTCAAGCAGGTCAGAGAATTTGTTGGCATCCCAACTGTTTTCCCCTTCATCTCACCAATCATAATTACGTACATGCTCTTGTAACTGTTCTATGTCTCCTCCTAGATTAGAAGCTTTATGAAGGGGGAGACTGTGTCTAACTTTAATTGTTATACTCTATCACCTTGCATAATGCTGGTCTAGAAAAAAGGCCTAATAAATATTTGTTGAAAGAATGAGTAATTTAACATTCCAGAAAATATTTACCTAATAAAATCTAATAATGATAAGTTGATGGAAAAGTCGAGCTGAACAGGATGCACATCCACCATCTGATAAGTTAGGAAACCGGATAGATTTCCTTCTGTAAAAGGTTGCTCCACCTGCACACGATGTTGGAAGCTCGTGGTGCTTTCTGCATCCACCACTGGCAAACAGCATCCAGACTGCTCTGTGATCTATAAACAGAGTGATAAAATGTTACAGTAAGGACCAATACTCTATTCTATGAACACCAATTTTCTACTTAATTGCAGTGGCATAAAAACTACAAACATGGTAAGTTCATAAACTACATTACGAAGATGACCGAAAAATAAAAACTAGCATGTACAAAGCCCTGGGTTTGATCCACTACCACCATTTTAAAAATTGTTTTAAAGATGATTAACTTATAATCTGACACTTGTTTTTTTTTGTTTTTGTAAGTCCTGGAACTTGAACTCTGGGTCTGGAGCTGTCCTTGAGCTTCTTTTGCTCAAGGCTAGTGCTTAAACCACAGCATCATTTCTGGCTTTTTCTGAATAGTTTATTTAAGTTAAGAATCTCATAGACTTTTCTGCTCAGGCTGGCTTTGAACTGTGACTCTTAGATCTCAGCCTCCTGAGTAGCTAGGATACAGATGTGAGCCACTGGTGTCTAGCTACTAGATTTTTTATTTTTAATTTGTGATATTTTGGAGCTAAAGAAGAAACAGAACTGACATCTGAGTACTCAGTATAAAAAGTAAAGTACAGGGCTGGGAAGGTGGCTCAGTGGTAGAGCGCTTGCCTTGCATGCTCAAGGCCCTGGGTTCGATTCCTCAGCACCACATAAGCAAAAAGAAAAAAGCCGGAAGTGGCGCTGTGACTCAAGTGGTAGAGCA